CTGATAATGTAGCTTTTCATTAGTGAAGGAATTTTTAAAATTGTTTTGGTGGTTTAGGCGTAAAAGCGTAACAAACAAATTCACTTCCATATTTATAATATAAGTAAGTGTAAATTTACCGTGGCTTTTACTATTTTAATTTATTTTGGCATCATGCTTAACAAGTTATAACAATACTTTATTATCTGTGTGGTGACGGATTAAGAATACGGAATATCACCACCCCTATTCATCCCGTGGGAGTCGTAAGAGCCGACTAAGGGAACAAATTGCATAGGACAACAGCACTGCGAAAAGAAGGAAAACTTGATACAAACCCTATACCAACCCATCTAGGTCAAAACCTCCTTTCGAAGGAGAGACCTATGTCCAGCAGTAAAGGCTGTTGATGATGATGATAAATGTTTCTCTCCCTCCCACACGCTCACCACTATAGCTCCTGTACACCAGAATCAACACCAGTGACCCACTAACACATCGAGTTATGACACTCGGGAAGTCCTAGGAAAAAAATAAAATATCTTGGAACCCGAAACGAAATAAATCAAAAGAAAATTGGAGAAGTTAGAAATACAATAGTATATAATATACTCGTACTGTATAATAAAATGAAGAGTAAACAGAAATTTTTAAGTTCGATTACGAATGATAAATCCAGATATAGAAATCAAGGAATTGTGTGGGTTTCTGTCGGCTATGGTATGTCGGTGTGGTGATGGATTAAAAATACGGAGTGTCACCATCCCTATTCGTCCCGTGGGTGTCGTAAGAGCCGACTAAGGGAGCAAACTACGCAGGAAAGCAACACTGCAAAGAGAAAGAAATCGTGACACAAGCCCTATACCAACTCGTCTGGCCAGCGTGGTATAGTAGGCCAAAGCCTCCTTTCTAAGGAGAGGCCTATGTCCAGCATTGGACTATCAAAGGCTGTTGATGAAAATGGGTTTCTGTTAAGCCGACTCAATCCTGCTGCAGGAGTTGTTGTTGATCATTGAATTTCATAATTTTAATTTATATATTATTCATTTGATGGATAGCGTATTGGTCTAGTGGTGAGTGGCCTTGATTGTGATTCTGTGCTTGGATGTAATTTATCTGTAACTAGCTTTTGCCTGCGGCTCCGCCCGTGTGTATATCGGTTATTGGGGTAGAAAGTAGTCTATAGCACTCAGGAATAAAACACCTTTCTAACTAATGTCCATGAAAGTGAATTTAAATTCTAGATGTTTGTTGAGTGCTCCCTTAGCTTTGAAAGTTTTGTCAACTTCTGATAGATTTTCTATGTATTTAACAGATCTACTACGTAACTCCCCTAAGAGTAACGAAGAAAAATCGTTTGCAAAAGAATTCATATTTGCGTACAAACATGTTTGCTTCCTTTGATAGTCTTTGTTGACTGTCTTGGGTTATTTGATAGGAAATAATGTTACATGTCTCCCTTGCGCTATTTACTGACTAAAAGATCATTATTCATATTATTAAACTGCTTTAAAAATTCCCTTTCCACATTAAAACTCATTGCAGATTATATATCCCAAAAAATTAACGAAATTCCCGCCAATTTGCAAACACTTTTTCCAACTTGTTCTCAAAGATTTTATTATCATAGTAAGTGATGAATATGACTTATTCATTAACAAACGTATGTGTAACTATAAAAACAAGCTATAAAAAACACCTGAGAAATGAAAGATTTTGAAAATAATTATTTGACTTACAACCCACTTATTAAATGTAGTTTGTTTGTTACTATTTCACGCTCAAAAGGCTGGAATATTTTTCATAAAATGTAGTATGGAGGTATCTGACATCCTGGATTAATACATAGGCTATTTTTATATCGAAAAAATGTTGTATTCCCAAACAAACAAAAACATCAAATTTAAACGAAGTCTTATCAGTCAAGGGCACTGAGGCGGTAAAAGTGTGAAATTGAATCGAATGGGATTTGGTTTCAATTGTGTTCAACATTTATAAAATAATTTACAAGTGACAAGAAAAGAGGTCGGTATACACAGTCTGGCTTAAAATGCTGTTATAATAATAAAAAAAAAACAATATTACATTCAAATTAGGAACCTGTCATATGGAAATTCGCCTTATTTTCTCAATTTCGCGCCAATCTTTGTTACTTTATTCTTGTAATATTAAAATGGAACGAGAAAATAAAGAGTACTAAATCGCTCTGTGATAACATTACACAAAGTAGATTGTAGTAAAATGTAATTTCCTCTGTCCGCTTAGTATTAGTAGAATATTTATGAAGCTAGATATTGTTAGGTATAACTAGTTGTTGACTAATCCTTAAGGAGGGCTTTCAAATTGTTACACGCTTTATATTAGCTTCACTTGTATGTTTGTTTGTATGTTTGTAACCGACTCCTTTGGGCGTGATTTTGGCTGACTTTAAACGTTCAGAATTCGTTCGATGACAGACCGATGACAATACACTAATTTAAAAAAATATATTAAAAATTTGAAAAAAAGCGTGGGGTGCTTTTATTTTCTATTTTTTAGTTTGGTTTTCCATAGAAAGCGTGTTTTTTAGTTTTTTTTAAATATACATTTTTTTTACTTTGTTTTTTGATACATTGTTGGAGCTTAAATTTTAAACCATCTTTAGGTTCTCAATTCGGCTGTTTATTTTTTGTTACCTCATAATTTCGTTATTTATGACCCGATTTGGATAATTCTTTTTTTATTTGAAATGTACTTTCGTTTAGTGTTTTGTGAATTGGAATGCTACGCAGAAGGTCGCGGGTTGGATTCCCGCTGAAGTAAAACATTTGTATGCTTAAACATTTAATGTTTCTTGTGGTCTGGGTGTTTCTATGTAGGTAAAATATGTGTGTATTTACAAAAAAGTATATAATATGTATTAATATCAGCTGTCAAGTATAGTACAAGCTAACTACGCCATCTAATCCCAAACTAAATAAGTTTGGTACTAGATGGCGTTGTGCGAATGTTTTACAATTCTTCAAATTAAAAAAAAACCCTTAATAGCTAAAAATTAAGGAATGAAGAAAAGGTTCTGTTACAATTCATAATGATTTAAGTTAAAAGTTTCTAAAAGTTACTCTACACGATTGGTTTTGTATGGCGTTGATTGATTTTATTATATACAGGATTATCGTTTGTGTGTTTGTTTGTCAAAAATAATAAAAAAATACATTACCTTTGTTGTTTTCAAAAGAGGTTTATCCACATTCATATTCTTATTTTTCATAGAACTGGATCCGGAGTTACCTGTTACAAAAAAAAAATTATAAACAAACGAACAAGCCGTACAGTAGTTGCAGAATGATGTGATGGTGTAACATTTGACAATTAACGTCACTGATGCTAATTCTGTTGTTCGAAAACTAAACTAAAATTACTAAAAATTAGTTTAGTCCTGTCAAGTATTACGTTTTAAGTTCGCAGACATGATGACGTCAGTGATCATGAAGTTCTGACGGTGTGTTCTACCAGCAAAAATACCATACTGCCAATGACAGTTCGTTATTGACTCAAAAATAAAAATAAAATGTTTAGTCCTGTCAATTACAACGTTTTTAGAATACGAAACACCGTTTTAGTACCATTATCTGTCAGTTAAGTCTAACACCGCGTGCGCTCGTTGATCAATTTAAATAGAGCGCACTTCCCCGCTTTTCTGTTACACACTTCTGTCCCTTTTCACAAAATTACTTCAAAAAATTATATAAAAGCAAGATGACAGATGTTGCATATCAAAAATTTATAGTATTATAACACAGCTTATACAAAGTAACAGTTGTCCGCGTTGTGACGGATTAGGAATACAGAGTGTCACCACCACTATTCATTCCGCGGATGTCGTAAGAGCCAACCAAGGGACTACCTACTACCTACGTAGGACAACAGCACTGCAAAGAGAAGTAAAATTTGAAACAAACTTTATACCAACCCGTCTGGCCAGCGTGGTATAGTAGGCCAAAACCTCCTTTGTAAGGAGAGGCCTATGTCCAGCAGTGGACTACTAAAGGCTGTTGATGGTGATAAAGGATACAAGAAACGAATGCAGCTGCGACACGTAATATTCACGAATCGCAGAGTATTTTACCCTCATTAGAAAAGTACAAACTTTTATATTTTTGAAGATGTCTTTAGCTCCATTGCCTGGTTAAATTGTACAGTATTTTAACTAGATAGATACTCTTTATAGTACACCAAAAAAGTATTATATGTTGAGAAAGAGCAACGAGAACAGCACTATTGGCGGTATTATCGCAGTATACAAAAAATAAAGTACATAATGAATGAATTAGCGAACGACTTTAAAGAAAATAATAAAATATTTATTACAAATATCTGGATATTTATATTGTTTAAAAAATAATAGTTCCACAACCATATTAAAAAATTTTAAGATGAAAAATTTAAGGCTAGAAAGATTAAGCAAATATTTAACGCCTTTTTTTACTTTTCATGGCTGTTAAAATCACTAAACCATGGGGTCTACTTCAATTGTCTTTAATTCCCAAAAGGGGTCAAATTCTGTAATTCATATGGAACTGTAAAACACAGTACAATAATAAATAATGAGGGTCATGCGGTCGAAGCTCTTTTAAAGTATGGCGTGTTGATTTGTTGTCATAAATCACAACACTACTTTCTCTGAAAGCCCCTTGGAAAGACTTTTAAGCTGTCAACTCGATTTGCGCGTTCACTATGTTCTCTCTGAACATAAAGTTAAAAATGTTAGAAGAAAAATATATTCTTTAAAATAGAAGTTACTTTGGAGTACTAGTGGTTTGGTTTCTGACAGTAAATTTTGAGGTTATATTGCTGATGACGTGTTACATTTGCCTTAAATATTTGGATTTAAAATGTCATTTGCTTATTGCCAACCTAAGGAAAAATAGAATCATGAAGTACGTGATCATGAAGGCGGCAGTGATCATGAAGTTCTGACGGTGTGTTCTACCAGCAAAAATACCATACTGCCAATGACAGTTCGTTATTGTGTGTTGTTGTTATGTGGGTATTTTGCTAGCCACCTTCGTTTGAAGTGTCAAAGCGAATCCCTTGTCAGAATACTCCACTGACTTACCTATAGTATCAGAACCAGCTGAAGAATGACAACAAGTTTTCCTTAGCAGCTTTCGTAACACACCTCGGATGTCCAGTGTATAAGAACCGTAGACTAGAGGGTTCATGCAGGAATTGGAGACTGCCATTACGAATAACAGGTCTTGCACTCTGGGTGACACGCGAGTGGCTGACTTGCGGTCTATCATGTACCTGGAATAAACAGTAAAATAAATAATGGGTCATATCATTGCATGTCCAACTCTGTAAGATGATTCGGAATTAATGGGAACATCTAGTTTCTTCTTTTGAGACTTTTTTTCAAACTAGGTTGGAGCGGCTGCCACCAGACCTCCACAACTCAGGTACTAGGCGATATCGAAGTTCTGTAGATATATTGTTGTCGGAGCTTTTAGGGCTTCGAAAGCCCGTAACGATTGACACAGACATTTGTATGATAAACGAGACCGAAGGCTTAACAAGCTCTCCGAGACACGGAGGGGTCTCAATGTTAAGAATGGTCGCTCATCCATAGACTGACCTCGCTAGGATTGCTTAACTTTGCAATATGCTAACCTAGTCGGTTATCCCATAGCCACAATCCCGTCCATGTGTATATATGTGAATACAGTTCTTGCTGTTCACGCTGAAGCATAGGCGAAATTTGGGAACAATTTATTGACGACTGCATGGCGTATAATAACAATCGCAAATAAAAATTAATACTATGTTTTTAATGTTTCAAACTGTTTTTATAAAGTGGTTTCTATTAAAACACACAGAGTCGGTAGAAAAGTTATGAAGCCGGCGAAGCAAAGGTTGAGGTTATGAAAATGCGAAGTTTTGAAAAACGTGAGATTATAAAGCCCAAAGATATCAAAAAGTCTTTGAGTATAAACAAGTTTGGATATTAATTTTCGTTTTCATAAAGTTTGTTGTTGTGGCTGATCAACGTTCAGGGGAGTAGAAATTAAAGTGATAAATTTGAACAGAAATTTTCCTAAACACTTTTTCTTGCCAATAATTTTCCAGTGCTCGTACTTTAGTTGGCTCGCAGTGATTTCGAGTTATAGGAACCCGGTCCTGCATGAACTGTTTTTAATACCCATCAGTCCTTACTGCCTCTGCAGTGCTGAGGTCTCGGGTTCCATTCCCGGGTCGGACTAAATGTTTGTATGATCTGCAAATATTTGTTACAGAGTTTGGGTGTTTTCTATGTATGTATTTACAAATAAAAAGAATATAAGTATTCTATCAGTCATCTTTTATAGTACAAGCTCTCTTAGTTTGGCGTTGTGTCGTTGTGTCAGATGTTCGAAAATCGTCTGCTTACCCTTATTCTATTTTTTTTGGGTTGGTACAGTAAGTGTGATTCTTACATTCTACTCTATCATTCGTCATCTCACTGTTTGCTTCCTTCCAAGCCATATCCTCTCTCACACGATCCATCCCCCTATTCTTTGGCCTTCCTCTTCTTTTGTTCCCTTCAAGTCTCGTACTTTTACCATACACTTTTTTGGAAACATTTTCCTCATCCGTCCTCATTATAATTATTATACGTAAAACAATTTTTGTTAATGTTGAGACAACTCCTAGAAATATATCCTGTGTCGCGAGGAACTTTACAAACATACACGAAACGGACACCCAAACTCAGAACATCTATTTGCGGATCACACAAAGTCTTGTTCCATATAGGATTCGAACCCCCAACACTCAGCGTAGTAGTGAACGGCGTGGCGACCGCTTAAACCACTACGCCATCCGCGAAGTCTAAATTATGATTATACACGGGAACTAACATGAATATGTTACAGTATTTTTAGGTCGTGCTCATAAGCTGAGTCCACACCTGTGTAATATGGACAATCGCCCTGTTAGGTGATCGCGATAATTCTTGTATAAAAACATAATAGTCTGTACACTTCTTGCTGTTTTTGTTACAACTAGCCTTTGCCCGTACATTCGCTCACATTTTATTTTTTATTTCGTGTTTCTAACTTCCCGTGGTTGTCGTAAGAGCCGACTAAGGGAGCAAACTAAGTAGGACAACAGCACTGCAAAGAGAAGGAAAACTTGAAACAAACCCTATACCAACCCGTCTGGCCAGCGTGGTATAGTAGGCCAAAACCTCCTTTCTAAGGAGAGGCCTATGTCCAGCAGTGGACTAGTATAGGCTGTTGATGTGTGGGCACGCCGTCATTGCGGCGGTAAGACCCGTTATGGAGGATTGGCTCGAGAGGCGTCACGGGACCCTCTCATACCGATTGACGCAGGTGATCACTGGGAAGGGATGTTTCGGAGATCACCTGTGTCTGATCCGCAAGGAGCCAACGCCTGAGTGCCACCACTGCGATGGCCAGACCGTGGACACGGCTCTCCACACGCTGGCAGAGTGCCCGGCGTGGGTTGAGCAGAGGCGAGACCTCGTGGCGGCCATCGGAGTGGGAGTTCTCTCGCTCGATAGCCTGATTGCGGCTATCGTGCGGAGCGAGAGTGCGTGGAACTCTGCCGTCTCCTTCTGCGAGCAAGTTATGCTCGCGAAGGAGACGGCGGAGCGGGACCGGGAGAGGTTTAGAACTCTCCCGACCCGCCAGGCCCGGGCACGGGCCAGGCAGCGCAGGCGACTCAGGCGCCGGAGGTCGCAGAACGACCTCCGTCCTCCATAAGCGCAGGCCTGGGGGTGACAGGTGAGGCCATCTGTCACCCTAGCAGAAGCAGGCCGGGGTGGCGGCGAGCGCGTTGCGAAGCGCGCTCGCTTCCAGGGAGCACAGGGAACATGGGGTTCCCACACGGGGCGGGGGTCGTCTACTCGTCTGTAGATGACCCGAGGTATGTCGGGGCACCAGGGCCTTCCTTTCTAGGGTATACCTGGTTCCCCGGCTATTAGTACCCGGCGAAGGCGTGCGGTTTTAGTCGGTTCGAGTCCGACATGCCACCGACAGGTGGTATCCGAGGGGATTTCCGCACGGAAAAAAAAAAAAAAAAAAAAAAAAAAAAAAAAGGCTGTTGATGTGATGTGTGGGATGTTTCTAACTTCGTAAATGACCCCTTTGGGGTGTTATTTCCAAAATTCATTTCTTAGTTTTCTTATAATTGCAAGTTTATAGCCTATAGTGGTTTAGGCTCTGCGCTAATGAATCGATCAGTCAAGGCAATTAATTTAATATGTATAGATTACCTCTTACAATGTGATGGTGAGATTGATCGAACTGTACAGCATCGAATCAATACGGGATGGATGAAGTGGCGGCTGTTAACAGGAACTACTTGTGACCCCAGTTTCCCCTTAACACTAAACGGACAAATTTATAAAACTATTATCAGACCTGCCGTCCTGTATGGCTCTGAAAGTTGGCCCATTAAGAGAACGGATGAGAGACGCCTGAACGTAGCCGAAATGCGAATGCTGAGATGGATGTGTGGTGTGACTCAGATGGACAAGGTTAGGAATGAGTATATACGAGGGAGTCTGAAAGTAGCGCCACTGGATGAAAAGTTAAGAAGTAATAGGTTATCTTGGTATGGACATGTCATGCGGAGGGATGAGGAAAATGTTTAGGTATGAGAGTTGAAGGGTACAAGAGAAGAGGCAGACCAAAGAAGAGGTGGATAGACTGCGTCAGGGAGGATATGGCTAGGAAGGGAGTAAACAGTGAGATGACGCATGACAGAGTAGAATGGAAAAATCATACATACTGCGCCGACCCCAAATAAAATTGGGAAAAGGGTAGGCAGATGATGAGATTATAAAAGCTCTGAGAAGGTTTGCGTAATCATTATTAACGTATAATACTTACCACATAGTTATAGTTACATAGGGCAGCCAGCACAGTGCGAAAGCGGCGACTATCGTGACCGTCATGCGAAGGGTTCGACGCCGTGCACGTTCTAGGACGCGACGGTCCGAGCGGCGAAGTCGTACTGGACCAACGTTGTTGTGATGAATACATTTCTCTGAACAAAAGACAGATAATAAAATGTTAATACCCATAAATACTATACATATGAGATATTTAAATCCAGACGTAATTGTGAAAACTAGTTCTGGAGTCAGGTTCAAATCCAATGATTTGAACAAAAACAAACTTCAGTACCATTTTGACTGCTGTGTTGGTCTGGTGGTTAGTGACACTGACTGCCAAGCCAGAGGTTGTGCGTTCGATTCCCAATCAGGACAAATAATTGTGTGATGAGTACAATCATTTTTTCTATGTCTGCGTTTAAAATTATCTATAATTATGTATGTACTAGCTGACCCGCGCAACTTCGTCTGCGTCTCTCAATAGTAATAAATTTTCTCCGTTTTTGAAACATTCTTCATTGGTGCTCCACTCCTATTGGTCTTAGCGTGACGATATATAGCCCATAGCCTTCCTCGATAAATGGGCTATCTAACACTGAAAGAATTTTTCAAATCAGACCAGTAGTTCCTGAGATTAGCGCGTTCAAACAAACAAACAAACTCTTCAGCTTTATAATATTAGTATAGATTTAGAAATAAATAAGTATGTTTATCAGCAGTCTGGTTATTATAATACAGGCTCTGCTTAGTTTGGGGTCAGATGGCCGTGTGTGAGATGTGTCAAGTTATTATTATTATGTAAGGTAGATACACCGAAATATGGAGTAACCAAATAATCCTATATCGCGCAATGAAAGTTCTCGCGCCGATGAGTATTTATAGTAGCCATGATCATCTCACCTGGTCGGTGGATTCCCTATATGTTGGAGAAATTTATTTGTTCTTAAATGGGTGGATGGGTTCGATTCCCGTTCAAGTCAAACATTTGTGTGCATGAACATTTAATGTTTGATTTGGTCGGGGTGTTTCTATGTATAATAGATAGATAGATAACTCTTTATTTGCACACTAAATTACAGAGTTTCAAAAAGGTCACAACACAACGATCAAATATCGAGTGTACAAAGGGCGGCCTTATTGCTCAATGCAATTTCTTCCAGGCAACCTTAATGTATTTATACTATATATAATAATGTATTTACAAAAAAAACTATATATGTATTTATATCAGTTGCCTAGTACCCATAGTACAAGCTCTGCTTAGTTTGGACTAGATGGCGTTGTGTGAATGTAGTAAAATATAATATAATATTATTATTAAATAGTACACAGACAACAACGACTTTTAACCATCCGCAATCTTAATCAAACAATAAATATAGTTAAGTAAAACAACAAAAAAGAACACCATAATGGCGAACTTTAATCAAAAAGTTCGTTAAATGTACTCAAATTACTTTATTGCGATAGTTGGTAGATACAACGAATATTGTCTTATAATAATCGTGGGATAGCTTCTCCATTGTCAGCCTCCCGGTATGCAATACTTAACATTTTATAAATTAACATACATACTTTAAGAATGTTATTACAACATTGTTAATTTATTATTCTTCTGTTGTTTTCGCACAGTCTATAAACTCACAACATTAATATTTAGCTTAGCGAACTTCTCGTGCATATAAACCTTAAGTTTGAAATAAAACATTGCTAAGTTTGCGAGAAGCTGAAGCCGATCTATGTGGCGTACAATTGGAGAGGCCTATGTCTAGCAGTGGACTGCGATAGGCTGATGATGATGATGAAGTTTGCAATATGACATTTAAAAAAGGGTTCGAAGATATTTCTTCACGCATGCGCCTCGGGCCGTCACCCCACCGGGGTTTGCGGCGGGGCGGTGTGTGGGAATCGAACCGACCAAAACCACACGGTGTGCTACTTCGCGCCTGAGATAGGAGGGGTCCGGGAACAGCTGATATTAAGACATCCGGATCCCTCCCAGTGCCTGCCCGCAACAGCGCGGGCAACACCTTTGGCTAAACTCTCGATTTAGGCAACGTCCGGCACACGCGGACGTCGCCTCCTCGCGGCTGGCCACTATAGCGGATGGAGGAGAAAATCCATCCCGTCTACCCGCAGCCACACTCAGGGCGGCATGAGGCGCTGGTAAGCCCGCCTACGCCGCCCGGTTCGGCCATGGAGTCACGCATGCATTACTAGACTAGACATACTAGGCTAGTTTTTGCCTGTGGCCAAAGGCTGTGGAAAATTCTAACTTGTTTTTATAAAATTCAATTATAACTTATAAATAGCGTTTACTTATTGTTCATAAAATGTAAACGAAGCCGACACGTTATAACAAACCACAAAGGAAGATTTATTTTTCAAAATCATAATATGTCACCTCTCAACAAGCGTTTTTAAAAAACAATTCACTAAAAGTATTAGTAACAATATTGTGTTATAATTCACCTTCTGTTAGAAAACCTCTCCGCACAATGTACCTAAATTAGTTATAGTATATAATTTTTATAATTACCTATGTATTAAGTGGTGCACGCACTTTTACTTCTCGGGAAACTTTATTATTTGCTAAGAGTCCATTGCAATGTTTAACTTCACCCATGAGATGTGTAATTTAGCTGTTAAGTTTCTAAATAAACTGTTCATAAGCTTACAGCTTTATTCAAAACTAGCTGAGCCGCGCAACTTCGTCTGCGTCTCTCAATAGTAATAAATTTTCTCCGTTTTTGAAACATTCTTCATTGGTGCTCCGCTCCTATTGGTCTTAGCGTGATGATATATAGCCTATAGCCTTCCTCGATAAATGGGCTATCTGACACTGAATCAATTTTTCAAATCGGACCAGTAGTTCCTGAGATTAGCGCGTTCAAACAAACAAACAAACTCTTCAGCTTTATAATATTAGTATAGATGGCATGACGCACTGGAACGAGTCTCTATCGCCCGAGTACATACTTTTACCTAATTCATCTTAATCGTCATTAATTTAATTTTACTTACATAACAAGCACCACATATCACTCAGTTATAGTATCATACTGACAAGTTAGGAGTCAGCAACTCATCATCATCAACAGCCTTTAATAGTCCATTGCTGAACATTAGCCTCTCCTTAAAAAGGAGGTTTTGGCCTACTATACCACGCTAGCCAGACGGGTTGGTATAGGGTTTGTTTCAAGTTTTCCTTCTCTCTGCAGTGCTGTTGTGCTGCGTAGTTTACTCCCTTAGTCGTCTCTTACGACACCCACGGGATGAATAGGAGTGATGACATTTCGTATTCTTAATCCGTCACAATACGGACGAAAGTGAGTTTGTTTATTTGCTATTACGTAACAATTTTAAAAATTCTTTCACCAATATAAAGCTACATTATCAGCGAGTAATATAGGCTAGTTTATAACGCGATAACCCACAGACGGAGCCGCGGGCAAAGGCTAGTGTTAAAAAAAAACGTCATTGACTTCGCTGCTCACATTTGCCCGCATAGTAACTCGTCGTAAAATATAGTCGTATTACTACGGAAACGTGTAATTGAAGGGCGTTCGTAATTCCCATGAATATATGAGTCTATATGTGAGCTGGATAGCTTAATTATATATTATTATACCAATATTAGGGTGTGGTGTATTCCATACAGTTTGGTGTTGTAATTTATATACCAGGGATCGTCCGGTACTCGTATTTCGACTGTTATGGTTGTTTTGTTTTATTTCGTTGACTTGAATTTTCGTTGTGTAGACTTTTGTACCTAAGTACAGTTCAACTTTATAGGACATTTTGTTTACAAATTTAGCTTTCTGCTCTCGTCGTGAGTGAGTTATATTTTGGCAAAAATGGACCGGCTTGACCGCAGTGATAACCACGGCCTCACACGAAATCAGTGTTAAGCAGTTCGTTGCTCTTCACCGAGAGTGTGAGGTTACCGGCGCCCACAATCTCCTCTTCCACTATTTCTGGGGGGAGGGGGGGCGTCAAAAGGCGACAACGCATTTGTTATTCTTGAGTTTCAGGTGTCCGTGGGCGGTGCTGGTGATTTACCATCAGGTCACCTGTCTGCTCGTTTGTCCCCTATAACCCCGGTCGGAATGAAGTTCCTGTCGATTTTTGGTAGACGTTTGCTATACAGTCTGCTATAAACTTAAGGTGTCGGAAAAAAGTCTTGTTACACATTTTTCGGTCTCGCTCCCATCCGCTAAGGAACTTCGTTCCAATATATATTTAGATATATATATTAAGTCAAAAAAGTTTAGATCATCATTTGATGTGATTTTAGAAAATAATTACATAGTTTTTTATACACGGCTTAGATGTGACTGACCAATACACATTATAAATGTAAAAATTTACTATTTTCACTGATAGTAGCAAGAAATCAAAGCTCAAAACAATTTGAGCTCTGGTTTCTTGCTGCTATTATTATTAATTTTTTGATCTACTAAGTTCGTGGATCACTTTCTAGTAATATTGGGTCGAAATACTCCGAGTAATGATATTGTTACGCCATAGGACCGAGTTGTTCTAGTACTGTCTGCAGGACAGCGCCATCTAGTATAAAGCAGGGTACAACGCTGCGCTTTAAGACTATGGTTTAAATTCCGATACTAGCTTGTAGTGCCATCTAGTATCAAATATCGGATTATTACCAGATACCTTATTGTACGTAATTCTGTCTGGAACATTCCATTAGTATATTCGGGATTAGTCGAGTAAATTCGATAGCACTATAAAAGCGGAGCGTGTTGGCCGTACGGGACAGTACCGTTTTACGACACAGCGAATTAACATCGAAGTGAATTTCTAGTGCGACCAACGAGTTATATAGCGATTTCTTGTTTGTTATAGTGAGTATTTGTAAATACAGTGTAATAAATGTAATTAACCGACAACTTTTATTTATTATATACCCCGCTCGTAACAATATGTATAAGGCATTTCTTTCCTTGACTTTAATTCCTCACGAGGATATAATTTATGTTGTTTCGATCAAATTATTTTACATACAAGACATATTGACCAAAGCTTTATTTTGTATACTTGTATATGTAGCAAGGAAAATTTTCAAAGTAAGTCCAGACAGCAATTAGACATTTTCTTAGAAGAATCTATAAAAACAGACTACGTTTCCATTACCTAATATCAGTCCTAGTTGGTAACTGTTAAATCCTTAATACAATCATTGATTTAGAATGTGTAGTACATACTATAGTTTGGGATACTTGCATATTATTAATTAATATCTTGTTTTAGGTATTTTCTTCAAATAATTTTGAAATAAAAGCTTTATTCGACTCGTAGTTATTGAAAGATTATGAGATACATAATCTCAAGACGTACAGGCTGTTAAGAGAAGGCCTAGCGAAAATGTCGCACCTTGATTCATAAACTGAATTAACTTAGAATTTCAACATTGTGGGAAATCGCATTTAAAGTTTGACATTCATGTACGTGCGAGTTCGTCAAAAAGAGAACGACAATCTCTTATCTCTGCCATTTTCATGGTATCGAGTCGGCTGTTGGATTGTTCGTGTTCTACTGATGAAGTTGATTTGGTATTTGTTGAAAACTCGAAAAAACGTAAATTTTGAATTAATTCACTTTATTATTAAAGGTGCGATGTATTGTGAATTTTATTTATGTTTTTTCATTGGTTTTTATTAGTGTACAATAGAGAATATTTATTTTAATTATGATACATATATTTATAATACAAAGCGATCCGTCCCGGCTTCGCACGGGTGCAATGTAGATACTACTAATGTGGTGTCAGTGTGGAGTAAATAATTATAATATTATTATGACAGGACTATACAAAAGGACATTTTTAAGTGCAATATTTATAGGCCCACTCTGATCCTGCCGGCTGCTGCCACCCAGGGTGGACGTACGGCCCGACGCGGTTCCGGCCGCTTTGTCTCCGCACTTTAAATATCCCTGATATTTACTATTATGATATGCTATAAAAGGCAATTTTGATCTACATTAAATGCACAACGTATCTAAAGAATTTATTTGGATAAGATATAATACTGTATTGTTTAAAATAGCTTTGTAAATTACCTTTTTTTTGTTATATGTAAAAGATAAAAATGGTTACTGAGAAGATGTACAATTCCGTAGTATATTATTAAGATTTATCTACTAAGGTTAAATTTCCAATGTAAGCACATAAAAACATGTTTTTTTCCTTCACGTTGCAAATCTTTGAAATTCTCGACATTCCTCTAATATAATATGCATTTGTTATACATGTAAACCCGCCTCCTAAATTATATTTACAATATTTGTCCTGGGTGGGAATCGAACCCACGACCTCCGGTTTAGCGGTCAGGGTCACTAACCACTAGACCAACAGGCCTTTCAAGTATAAAATGCTGTCGCTGTTTTTTCGTGTACCATGAGATATTTCAAACTACGCAACGGATTTTAATGCGGCTTTCAGCATTAGAGGGTGATTTGTCCAACCTGTTTGTCAAGTGGTTATTGACAATGATTGCTAAGCCAGAGGTCGTGGGTTCAATTCCCACCCAGGACAAATAATTGTGTAATGAGCACGAATATTTGTTCTGTGTCTGGGCGTACTTTATCTATAATATGTATGTTTTAGAAATATATAAGTATGTTTATCAGCAGTCTGGTTACCATAGTACAGGCTCTGCCTAGTTTAGGATCAGACGGCCGTATTAGTATATATATATATATATATACTAATTAAAGATTTAAGGACATCATTCTATCTGTATCAGATTAAAAATAGAAAGCAGATAAAAATAAATGTTATCACGTTGTTTATAAATAGCTTACTACAAAGAAAAGTATTTTCAAATTACTTTATTGATGACACAACACCTTTCGATAAACAATTTTGTAACATAATAAATATACATTAACATTACATAACCGTTGTGTCCGTGTAGTGACGGATTAAGAATACGGAATGTCACTTCCCCAATTCATCCCGTGGGTATCGAGCCCGTAAGAGCCGACTAAGGGCGCAAAACAACGCAGGACAACAGCACTGCAAAAGAAGGAAAACTTGACACAAACCCTGTACCAACCCGTCTGGCTAGCGTGGCATAGTAGGCCAAAACCTCATTTCTAAGGCGACGCCTATGTCCAGCAGGCGACTATTAAAGGCTGTTGATGATGATTTATGAACCATTGTACTTTTCATACAAAAACATTTTAATTACATTTCCATTACCATTCTTTGTTGTATACTCCGAAGCCATGGTATAACATTTAGATCTGAGTGATTTCAATGCATTATTCTCGTTACCAGTACGAGTATATATCAACGTCAACACGATACTGGGATTAATTGATAGTTATTTCTGGCCTTTGTTTACTAGCAGCTGACAAAGTGAGACAGAAAACGAGAATAGTCTCTTAATTTATCTGTCCTTTTGCGAATAATAAACATTACTACAGATACCTAGTACTTGTACACTTATATAGATGTCAGTTACATAGTCTATTAAGAAACTTAATGAACTCTAACCACAGTTTGACAAACCTTATAGAAAACCGGGGTTCAAGGTTAAGAAAGAATTGTTTTTTGTTATGTTTTATTGAGTGAGTCAAGTCCACATCACATCAATAGCCTTTAATAGTCTTCTGCTGGACATAGGCCGCTTTTAAGAAAGGAAGTTTCGGCCTACTATACCACGCTGACCAGATGAGTGTCAAGTTTTCCTTCTCTTCGCATTGCTGTTGTCCTGCGTAGTTTGCTCCCTTAGTCGGCTCTTTAAGACACCAGCGGGATGAATAGGGGGAAGAGTGATTTTACCAGAGCATAATTTTGGTTGGTCAGTGGTGTCATAATCTAAGGTTTGTAACCATTTATAAATAATATTACTTGCCTCTGCCGCAGTTTTATTCTTTAAAATACAATGCTTGGTGAGCCCATTGTAGACATGTGTACTTACCATCTAATTCCTTACTGCTTCTGTGTATCTCACAGAAGATGCACACGTAACACACGGTGATCACGATGAGCGGTAAGAAGTACATGGCGCAGAGACAGAAGATGTTGTAGACTACTTCTTGTTGGTCCGAGCTGAAGGCACCAAATGACACGCACTGCTCGAACCCCTCCACATGAGGATGGCGCTTCACTCTGAAGATTATACTCTGTTGACAAAATAATATAGTTTTATTTAGACTGTATTCAAATAATTTATTTTTGCAGAAAACACTGTTACAAAAATTACAGGTCCATCGTGTTGCTGGACGAGGCGGGTAAATTGTTTGAGAGGGTACTCTCTGCCCGCATCGTCTCCTACCTCTACGAGGTTGGCCCTGATCTATCGGACGTCCAATTCGGTTGTCGGGGCGTTCGAAGCGGGCAGCGGAAGCGCGCTTATCAGCGCCTCATGCCGCCCTGAGTATGGTCGCGGGTAGACAGGACGGGTTTTCCCCTCCACCCGAAATAACGGGCAGCCGCGAGGAGGCGACGAGGCGAATAGAGAATGTACCCGAAGGTGGTGCCCGCGCCTTTGCGAGCAGGCGCTAGGAGGGGTCCGAATGTCTTAATAACAGCAGTTCCCGGAGCCCTCCTATTACAATCGCAGAGGAGCACACCGTGTGGTTTTCACCAACCACAGCAAACCTCGGTGGGGTGACGGCCCGAGGGGGGATTCCACAGAGTTTATGTCAAGTTTGCTATGGTTGAGCTTTGAAGCCCTTATATTCTTGAATTTACTGGCAAAATTACAGCAAAGTAAATAAAGCCACAAGTTTTCTACTAAATCCTCTGTTACGCTCTTTTATAACATATTATACTTGTACCCTTGGCAACAATCCTTTTATTTAGGAATACCGATAACATAAATACAAAAAAGAATATTACACGAAATAAATTTTGAAATTAGAATATATTTGAAAGTTAATCAAATTATATTCAGTATCCTCAACAAAGTGTGTGTAACGTTCCATGAAAATAGGCTTTGTCTCTATGTGAATTTTCGATGGAAGGTTCATTTCAAACAAACAAGAAAAAATGTAAAAAATATATATGAAAGACTGATAAATGAATTAATAACCTCGAGAATTCACGATGTCAATGGATATTAAGAGTACTTAAATATAAGTGAGTTGGTTTTCATAATGTTTTTCAACAAGTTCCACCAAGTGCTGACAATCGATTGTAAAAATGTATTCATACTCATAACTCCAATTGGCTTGTGTGCACTAATAAGATATTGCAAAAGTTTCAAATTATTAATGACGAGACATAGGTAAGAAAGAACCAGTCTATTTCTCATAAAAGTTAAAGATTATTAGTATCTTTTTTAAATTAATTCGTACAAAATAGGCGTTAAGTCACGTGACAGCGAACACCAATCAGAAAGAGTTACGTCACACCACGCAAAACATCATTGTTGTTGTTGACGTTTTCATTCAACAGAGCAGGTTACTCCTTATTGTTTATCGTTTTTAGCATATTTTCTCACCTTAATACAGTTTCAGTTGACATTGGACACAAATGTAAACAGTTTTGGTTCGCAGACTGTGACGTCATTCAAGACGCCATGACACTATTCAGCGTTTTCAAGGGAAATTTAAATTGTTTTTTTTAAATACGTAAAAAATACATACGTAATGTAAATATTGCTTTTTCTTTAAAATATAGGTTTTTGGGATAAAATAGATATTAGAGTATATAATTAATTGAGTTTTCAAATTATGTCAACTAGCTTATTGCTAGATTAAAACTATATTTACGGAAAGCGAAAATTTTATAGGTAGTATTAATAACTTATGATGATTGAATGAGTCAGTGTTACAAGGCGTTACTTCGATAGCTGATCTAATACATTGTTGAGATACACCTTCTATAAAAATGTGTTGAGAAAAAGTACTAAATATTTCAAAAATCAGTAAGTAATTTCAACATAATCATAATTTAATCACAACTGCGAAATCGATTCTCTGGATTAAAGTTGAATAACGTTGAACACAAACTTCAAATAATCAGTTGAAGTATCTCAAAGTTCGGCAATGCATTTTATTTTTAGGATAATTTTTATTCTTTAGCTCTCTGCTGCTGATATACCTATTACGTTTGATCTAAAATTAAAATAAAAAAAGGTAAAATGGGAGTACAATGGCGTGCAATGGGAGAGACCTATGTCCAACAGTGACGATGATGATTAGTTCAGTTTATGTATCCAATATTTCATTGTCTTAAAAAAACATTCAATGTTCCAAGTTGTCAGTAAGTCTACCACAAGGTATAATACAGCTTCAATGCCCGCAATCTTAGCTAAGTGTTTCTTAATAAACTTCATGATCTGTTAGTACTCGTATTGTTTAATTGGAATTGAATTGGAAGTTTCTAGTTGCCACTTCAAAGCTGAGTCATTCGCTAGGATCTTGTCCACAACACTACGATACGTTGTCGTTAACATGGAATGATGCGGTGAGCGCGGCGTGGCTTATTGAACGGAATAGTTAAAAAAAAAAACATTTTTTCTGTATCTGGGTGTAATTTATCAATATATGAGTATATTCAGTAGTAGTTTGGTTACTAGTACTATAGCATAGGTTCTTCCTAAATATGGTTATCTTATATAGCACGTGAAAATTTAAGCGCCTAAACATTACGTAGTCTTAAAAACCTTTTTTTTAATGGAATAGGGGGCAAACGAGCAGACGGGGCACCTGATGGAAAGCGACTGCTGCCGCCCATGAACGCCTGCAACTCAGGAGTCACAAGCGCGTTGCCAGCCTTTAAGGAAGGAGTACGCTCTTTTCTTGAAGGTCGTATCGGTCCGGAAATACCGCAGCCGATACCTTGTTCTGCAGATTGGTAGTGCGAGGCAAAAAGTGTCAATTATCCAAGTGGTGGGGATAAAAATTGCCTTGTGGAACGATGGCGGAAAGTTGCAGCCGGTATTAGTCCGAACAATTCCTCGGAGCACTCTCCTAAGCATCGCATAGTCCTCTTTTGGACAGAAAAGGCAGAAGTCGGTCTATAGTTGACACTGGTATAACATTTGTTTCTTATGCCATCAATACTGCTAATAACGGTATACATTTTTACAGGCTTGGTACCAAAAAGAGTGGTGTTCCTGTTCAACCATAACCTTTAAATCAAAGCTCCAGCAAATTGTAGTACTTACATTTAAAAAGTATTTAATTTCACATTAAGCACACAATTGGGTATACCTTGGGTATACTCATTGGGTAAGTGAACTCAACTTAAAGTTATTACCATATTGATGAGAATAGTTCTAGTTAAGCTAAGTAAATGACTTTGAAAGTACTACCTAATTAAAAAAAAAAACGATTTTTTATCTCTTTTTTTTTAATAATAAATAGGTGGAATACTGGAATTAACTATAATATATTTGGAATGCCCAAATATCTTTCGCTTCATACAATGTACGAAGACCATTCAAAAGGCGTTGGGGCAGGCGGCACCGGTAGTACATAAAAGAAAAAGCCACAACCAAATCGTAATGAATTGAAGGAACGCGTGAAAGAGGATGTCGGGTGATCAAGAAGAATGGAAGAAGAAAACTCATTGCATCAATCTGAATGAATTTGTGGACAGGGTAGAAAGATGATGATGGACTAGGTAGAATACTGAAGTGGTCTGCAGGCGATGATTTTGGGGAATTCGTCGTCCGAACAGAATATCCAGGCCTGAGAGGTAGCGCACAGTGTTTCATGTGCGCTTTTAGAGGACTGGGATCGGAGGGTGACAGTCGCAACGGGTTCGAGAGACCCTGGATCTCCGGGGGCGGCGGAAGAATGCAATTGCAATTCTCTCCCCCGGCCTTTGGCAAGCAGAGGCACACAGGGGTGGTGTTTAGCATCCATCCATCGCCACCCATGAACGTCTGCAAGTCAAGAGACGCAATGCCGCACTTTGAGTTCAAGAGAAGGTCACTCGGTGTAAAGTAACCAAGAGAACCAGAAGGTCACTCGGAGTAAAGTAACGAAAGAACTGCTTAATAGTGATTATCTGTGAGGCCGTGGTATCACTCCGGTCGAGGTAGCCAATCTGTGCCTAAATATGACTCTCCAACTTTAAAAAAAAACAACATTGGCACTCCGGGAGTGCCTACGGAAGTGAAAACTTTTTTTTTTAAATTATAACAGGATTTTTTTCTGCACTCGAAAAGTTCCGACACGTATATATATATCAGAGGAAGCTGGGAGTCGGGTTGATTGTTGTTTGATGTGACTGCTGATTGTTGATTTGTTTACATTTTTAATTACCTTTAAAATTCTTTATATTATTTTATTTTATTTGATTTGTAACATATTTTGTATATTGTTCTATAACTTAAAACCTTACTAATGTAATAAAAGTTAGGAATATTGTTATCTACGGAATGACCAATCAGAGCAGAACACATCTCTCGAGCGGGGTCGAGGCGCCATCTTTACTTTAGGACGGCCGACAGTTTTTGGGACACATTTGAGTGACAGCGACTGATCGAGTTGGATCTTGGAGAGTTTATTCGGATTAAAGTAAGAAGGGTGCCCTGAACCCGCTGCTCGGTCTTAAGTGTTGATTTTTCGTTGGAAATTCTTGATTAAATAAAATTATCAATTTCAATTAAAATTGTAAGAAATTGTGATCATTGTTTTGTGCTCGCATTTTACCCTAATGACGCCCACTAAGCCCGCAACCACGAATGACGATGTCAAGGAGAATAATGTTTCTCCGACATATATTTATATATATATATATATATATATATATATATATATATATATATATATATATATATATATATATATATATATATATATATATATATATATATATATATATATATATATATCTATATTGTACGTATATACACAATATATGTTTACATTATAAATAGTATTAAGAAGTATTACGTAATATTATCAATGTATTTCAACCCAAACTCAACTCTCGTGTAAACGGGGCTAATATATGTAGATATTTATATACAGAGGTGTCGCTAACGGTAACAGTGTCGCGAGCTCAATGGTTTTTTCCCATCCCAAAATACATTATTTTGTATTTTGTTCAAAAATGCCCAACGCGCCTAAAGAAGTTTTCACTTCAAAAATCGTGACGCACTTAAGAAATACCAAAATATTTTTCAATTTTTTATCACATTTGGTAAAATTGGAACGTCCACTTCAATTTTCTGTCGTTAATTACTTAGATGATCTATATCGTGAATTTTAAGAAATCCGAACTATTCAATCAATAAACCACAGACTAGAAAACCTATCTACCATCGCTCAAAGGACAGCAATCACGTTTAATTAAAAAAAATTCAGACTCAAAAAGGATCATTAATTGAAATAGGAATAAAGTTAAACTAGACCTATAAATGCTGATAGACAACAAGACAACATAATACTCTAAGTAAGTAAGTAAGCCTAAAATCCCTACTATGTATTATTGTTGCTAAGTTAGCTAGGCCGCGGATTAGTCTAAGCTGCGATAGGATGTTTATATATCAAGGGCGAATTTTCCCCCTCATAATTTATTATATATATTATATTATTATATAATATAGGTTTGTGGTGGTTGATCTTTCTTCAAGTTGTGGCATCTGTTACACATAGATATAAATAGAACCTTTTTGATTCCTTGTGTAAACGACGCCTTTTTTAAGAGTCTTACTATTTGAATACAAAACACGCTACAACAAGAAGTGATCGTGGAAAATAAAAATAATATTTATATAATTTTCGTTTATTCTCAAAAATAAAATGCCTACTAATTTGATTGTAGATTTTCCGACCCTTGAACTAGTGTAAACTCTATAGTTAACAAATTACATTAATAACTTTGTGGGTATAGCCGATCCCAACCTAGAGTGGGCAAAGTTTCCGTGGATGATGACTTTGTGGGTGTGGAATTTAACCCATTATAATTTACACTGGTATCCTAGTAGCCAATCCTCCTCGCCAATCACAGGATAAACATAATCATATTATTATACGTTTACATGTGTGTTAATTTTTTATTTATTTACTTTAAATATAACGGTTTTGTCAATTACAATAATAACAAATAACAAAATTCGGGATAAGTGCGAGTCGAACTCGCCCACCGAGGTTTCCGTAAAAATATATAGGTACATATTATAAATAGTTCAGGAATCGGGTCGCGCAGTTTTATTCAAGCTTTTCCAAAAATTCAGTTGCCTAAACCTATAATTATTTATATTATTGTATTACAATCGAAATTGTACTTCGATGACTGATTACTTACTTTAAGTAAAGACTTATATTTTTCATGACTTAGTTACAAATGTATAGTTTCAGATTTTTCTCTGTACTTGTAGTATAAGCCAATATTACTTGCCAAATTTCGTAGTTCTAGGTTAACGTTAAGTATCCCATAAATTGTTATTCCCTTGAGAGTCTCGAAATACGTTTTTTTATGCCATAAATGGACGTAAGTTTTTTTCACTGGACTATAGACCTGAGTACATGGTTTTAATTTTGACTTGATAAAGGGTCTTGACAATCGACTAACAGACAGACTGACAACAAAGTGATCCTATAAGGATTCCGTTTTTCCTTTAGAGGTATGGAAGCCTAAAAACACAAATGAAAACAAAGGCATATATAAATCAAAACAAAAATCATCCATCCTGCTAACAGAATCGTAAGCATCCTAACATTAAGCAGCACAATTACGGTCGGGATTGGCACGCAGGAGAGCGTTGAGTGCAGAAAGAGAGCGCGGTATGTGTGACTTGGCACGCTACGGTGCGACATGATGGTACGGCAAACATAATAAAATCAGCCCGGTGGCGTATTAGAAACAAAAAAATCAAAAATAGCTCGTACCGATTTAAAACTACAGGTACTTTGGGTACTTACTGATGGGGTATTTCTTTTTTCTGGTATACAATATAATATAATACATCGGGGCAAACGAGCAGATGTGTCACCTGATGCTATAACCCGGCAATCTCGTGCACGACCGTCCCGCGGGGTGACAGACAGTGGCGAGGGCGAGGTAGCGCGTCATTCTAGCACACGGCTACACGCGTTTCCCTTCCCCTCTACACCACCCGCTACCCGATGACATCTTGAGTACCTCGTCCCCGCCACCGTCTGTCACCCCGCAGGACGGTCGCGCACGACTTTGATGGACTATAAGTGACCACCGGCGCCGATGAACAAGTGTGAGTCGCCCACCCAGAATTAAAGGGAAGCCCCAGAATTAGGTGAATGACTGCACGGAGAGCATAGTTGTTTAGGCGGTCGCCACGCCGCTTCCTGCTACGGTGAGTGTTGTGGATTCCATCCCCACATGGAACAACACTTTGTGTGATCCACGAATTGTTGTTCTGAGTCTGGGTGTTCTCTACATACTCCATAATAAGAATGTGGAAGTCTATACGTTTTTGTAGTATTACAGTCATGTATGTTTTATAAATTTAAGAACGCACCTCAAGCTTTTAAATTTCAAACCGAAACTATTTAAATGCCCGAATAAATAAGGTTCTTCGATCCGGTATTATTTTAATGAGTTGTAATTGTTTATATTGGCAAATCGTGCCTTAAAGTTGTGATAAAGTTATTATTAAAATACGTGACTTTGTGTTCTTCAAACATTATTACATTTTTTGTTAACGGAGTGGAAGATTCTCGTGTACTTCGCCCATTGGCGGGGGGAAGGGTCTGTCGGACAATTACCGACTAAAAACCACCCTGGTGTGCCTCCGATTGCCAATGGCCGAATTGCAATTGCATTCTTCCGCCACCCCCGACAGCCATTAACCCATCTCGTACCCGTTGCGAGCGTCACCCTTCGGTTCCCGTTCTCTAAAAGCGCACACGGAACACTATTGCGCTGCCTCTCAGGCCTGTATATACTGTTCGGACATTTCCGACATTTCTTTGTTTTTTTTGTCGTTGTTTTTTATTTCATTGTTATAACTAAGTGCTGTCTTGTGAATGTAACAATGAATGTTTTTCTTTCTTTCTTTCCTTCTTTCTTTAGTCTGAGTAGACGGGTCACCTAAACATACAGCGATATATTCATACATAATAGAGATTGAACAAGCGTTCATCATCTACTAAAAAAAAACCTAAGAATATTAACTTACTGCCAAGTAAAAATAACGTTTTAAAGGGAGGAAAAGAATAAGTTGATTACAAGTTTTATATTTAAGGGACTATAAAGTTACCAAATTTTTGCCAATTTCTAAACTCAAAGTTTTAATTATGTAATATTTTAATTCGAAAGATGATTTT